AGACCAGGGAGCACTGGTGTTCAGTGGGGGAGGGGGGAGAGAGGGCAGGGCGTGTGTGTGTGTGAGTGTGTGTGTGTGTGTGTGCGTGTGTGTGCGTGTGTGTTGAGGGACTGCCCATTGACTCACGGCACGGAGGTGGGTGCACACGAACACCAGAGCCAGCAAAGCCGAGCCAGCAGGGCTCCTTAGGGGGCATCCAGGTGTGCCGGCGCGGGCAACATGACATCATTGGGCAAACACGTTGCACTCGCAGCCCGGAACGCCCAGCCCCCTGGCCCAGCCTGCCCCCCTCGGCCCACCCTGAACGGCTGCAGCACTTGGCGCATCACGCCCTCCGCCCCCTGCGGCGTTGACAGCTTGCCGTTGGCGATCTCCAGCCACACGGGGCCGCGCGAGGGGTCCACATCGCTCTGAACCACGTGGGCCTGGACCTGGGGTTTTGAGGAGATCATAAGGTGTTGGGGTTTTGGAGGCGCCGCCGGGGGTCCGATCCTCGCTGGTGGCAAAGCCTGACGTGCTGCGAATGTAGTTGAAGTTCCGGTTGGCTGGGGCGGGCGGCGCGCCGGTGCGGCGGCTTCGGTGCTGACGGCGCTCCCCCATGTCCGGCAGCTGCCAGTGGCGGCAGCGGCGGCGCCTGCCAACCCAACCCCCACTGGACCCCATTCAACCACCCGCTGCTCCTTGTGAACATCACCCACTGCATTGCCCCCCAAAAAACAAATGCACCCAGCCGCCGCCCATGTACATGCACGTACACACACATATATAGTACAGTACACACACCCACACACATGCACACGCAAACACATGCCCACGCGCGCGTGCGTGCGTGCACACACACACACACACACTCACAAACAGAAACATGCACACACACATACGCGCGCGCGCGTACGCACCTGGTCCATCTTGAACGTGACCGTCCTCTCCCGCCTCACAGGGTAGTAGTGCCCCAGCAGCAGCGCGCTGTTGGTGCCCAGAACCAGGCTGCCGGGCGCGCCGCCCTCAGGGTCAGAGATCAGATTCACCTGCACCTGCACGAATTCGATCTCGTATTCCAGCAGGCAGGAGTCCCACGCCGCCCGCCCACCCGCGGCCGCCGCGGCAGCCGCAGCTGACGACACCGCCGGCGCAGATTCTTCTGAGAGCGCGTCAGCGCCGCCGCCGCCACTCATCCCGCGCGGCGCCGCGCCGGCGCCAGACTGGGGTGTGTCTGGGCCCTCGTCGGTGGCGGTCGCGCTGTCGGCGTCGCCGTGCGCCGCGTCCGCCTCCTGCCGCTGCTGCTTCTGCAGCAGCAGCGCCCGCAGCAGCGCCCCCTCCTCGGCCGCCGCCGGCGCCCCCGGCACAGCGGCTTCGGACTGGGAGCCGCCGCCTTCGTCAGCGCTCACCTTTGACGGCGGCGCGGCCCCGACGGCAGCGCCGCCAGCATCGCCGCCCTGCTGCTGCTGCTGCTGCTGCTGCTTTACAGCTGCAGCCCCGCCGCCCCCGTCCTGCTGCCGCGGCGCCGCCGGCGCGGGCGGGGCCTCCTCTGGCGGCGCCGCGGCGCCCCCGGCGCCGCCGGACGGCTGGCTCGTCCGCACGCGGCGCGGGCGGCTCGGCTGGCCGAATGTGATACCGCCGAAGGCCTGGCCCATGTGCACGAACAGCAGCACCAGCGCGTCTCGCAACTCTCCCGGGCAAAGAATTCTTGCATCCTGCGCGATCATGCGTATCGGCCGCCGCGGGGGGTCCCCCGGCGCCGCCCCCGCTCCCGCCGCCGAGGCCGCGCCGGCGGCGCCGTCGCTGGGGTCGGGGGGCGCCTGCTTTAGCAGGAAGCAGGCGGCTGAGAACACGAGCCCGCTCGAAAAGTCGGGCTCGGGGTCGGCCGCGGCCGCGCCGCCGGGGCCGCCAGCCGCGCGGCCGCCGGGCGCGCTGGCGCCGCGGGGCGGGGTGCGGGGCCCCTGCTCCAGCAGCTCCCGCAGGCGGTCGGAGGGGTCCTGCTGCGGCGG